GCAGCACTGCTGCAGCCAGGACCGCCCGAACACCTGGTCCACTCGCTCCCCGTGGCGCACGACCAGCAGGCTCCTCCTCACGACCGCGGCCTGTGACAGCGGGAAGTCAGCGGGGGTCAGCGGCCGGCGTGGTGGGAACTGTGCCCGCAGTGAGCGGCACGGCCCCTCGGGGGCCAACGCGCCACCGGACGGCCACGTCGGAGCCCTCGGGGAGCAGCTCCCAGCCCCCCGGCCGCGGGGACGCAGCTGCTTCCCCGCCTTCCGCCGCGGCCGTCACTGTGACCAAGGAGGGCTAGGGACGGCGGTGGGGTCGCTCACTTTCTTTTTACTTCCTGGGCACGAGAACATCACGCAGGAAACGAAAGAAACAGGGGTGTGCGGAGCAGAGCAGGTCCGCCCCCCTCTCCCCTCCGCCAGGTCCCGATCCTGTCCTAGTCCCTGCCGGCTGCAGTGACAGCGCCCCACGGACCGGGGAACTTAGACACAGTGGACATTAGTTTCTCCCGGTTCTGGAGGCTGGAAGTCTCAGGATGCCAGAGACCTGGGTGCCAGCACGGACGGGTGCCACCGTCTTGCTGCGTCCTCACGGAGCAGGAGGGGCTCTGGGGTTCTGGGGGCCCCTTTGTAAGGGCCCTAAGCCCATGCCTGGGGGCTCAGGATGGAAGCGCCTCCCAAAGGCCCCGCCTCCCGACAGCACCGCCTTGGGGACTCAGACACTGCCTCACTGGAGGGCGCAGCTGTCCGGTCGGGGTGCGAACGCCACGCCCAGGGCAGAGCCCCCGTGGGGAGGCTGCCTGGCCGCCTGCCAGGTCTGAGGGATGGTTGCACAGGGGTCGCCCACGCTGACGCCAGCGGCCTCCCCGCCAGTGTGGGTGTGGCAACGTCCCCTCCCGCTCCTTGTCCCGACCTGACCTGTGCGTTGCAAGGACGTGCTCTGCTTACTGACCCTCACATGCCGCCAGTGCCCAGGGCTGAGGTTTGGGTTCGGGGCACATTCTTCCCCCCGGAAGAGCCCCCAACTTTGTCAACAGGAATACTGAGATGCAGAGACAAGTCCAAAGGTGATGGCTGAGCCCTGTGTCCAAGGGTGATGGCTGAGCCTTGACTCCCCAGTCCTGAGGTGCCCTACGTGTTTCCCGGGCTGCTGTCACCAAGTACCACCCGCTGGGCAGCTGACAAGGGAAGAAATTAACCCTCTCACAGCTCCAGAGGCCAGACAGTCACTCCCTCTGAGGTTGAGGACCCCACAGTGCCCAGGACAACCCCAACGACCGAGGCGATACAGCCCCAAACGTCTTTAGTGCTGGGGCTGAGGAGCCCTGGTCCGCCTAAGCTACTGTCAGGGCCCCCGACCCATTTCTCCGTGTGGCGGAGGGTCCTTCCTGCCTCTTCCAGCTCCTGGTAGCCACAGCGATCTTTGGCTGCCGGTCACGTTGCTCCGACCGCCACCCCGTGCCTCCTCCCTGTGTATCAACTCCCCTCGGTTCCCGTCGCGATTAGATCTAGGGCCTGCAGGATAGTCCAGAACGCTCCTCCATCAAGACCCTTCCCTCGGCCCCCCACGCGAAGGCCCCTATTCCTTATAAAGTGACGTACGCTGTGCTGAGGGTCAGGACCTCCTCTCTCTGGGCCATTTTTCAGCCCCCTACACATCTGTTCTGCCAAACGTGATGCCTGGTGTTTGTTCCTGCCATGTGGAGGGTGGACTCACCCCGGGTGAGGAGGGTGTTCGTGCACTTAAAGCACCAGTGAGCGCAGACACAGGCCGAGCTGCAGGCTAAGCCGTCATTCCAGGTCCCCCCACTCCGTCCACCTGGAAGGTGGGGCCCGGCCTCAGGGAGATCCCCACTCACGCCTGCTCTCCTGCTCTCCACCTAGGGGGTGAGTCCAGCCTCCGCTGGCTGTGCCGTCTGGAGCCTGGGCAGTCTGGGGGTGTGGGGTGCGGGGACGAGCCGCACAGCCACCCCGACAAGGCTGCGTCTACACAGACAACATAACGGTGGAGCCGCTGAGCTGCTCCACGGGAAAGGGACCGTCACCTGCAGGGCCTGTATGCTGCCCATACTCCTGGGCCTCTGCGGAGGGTGAAGTTCGCCGTTGCGCCTGCTGCCGGCTTCGCCGTCCTTCCTGGAGTTCGGGTCCACGGTCAGACTGAAGGTGTACGTCCTGCGGGAGAGGAAACGCGATGCCGAGTCACAGTGAGAGCGGGGACAGCAGCCACGCACGTGCTCGCGAGTGCACAGGACAGGGCGGCCGGTCGGGTCCCGGCGAGGTGAGTCATGCGAGCTCGGCTCCCAGCACGGAACAAACCCCGAGAAAATGGTGGTTGTTTGTCACCCACGTCACGCCCCAAAATGATGGCCGAACCGTGTCCCCCAGAATTCGCACCTTCGAGCCCTGACCCCCAGGACCTCCAAGTGTGGCCGCATTTGAAGATGTGGGTCTTTAAAGAGGTGAATAAGGTAAAATGAGGTCACCGGGTGGACCCCAATCCAGTGTGACAGGTGTCCTTGTGAGAAGAGGAGATTAGGACACAGACACACACAGAGGAACGGCCGTGTGAGGGCGCAGGGTCTGCACGCCAAGGACGGGGGCCTCGGGAGAAACCGGCCCGCCCACACCCGGATCTCGGCCTCTGGCCTCCGGGCCCTGAGAGCATGGATCTCAGCGGTGTCCCTGTCATCGTGGCTGAGCCGGCTAACGCGGCATTCTCCTAGGGTCACCTTCTAAAGGAGCCAAGGGTGGAGGCAGACGCAGTTGGGGTGCAGGACCGAACAGGCACCCCGAGAGCTAGTCTTTTGGGGAGCTAGTCTTGCAAACACACAGGAAAGGGGCCGGTGCTCCAGCGGGAGGCAGGGAGGGAACAGCTACTTGTCCAGCTGCCACCTGTCCAGCAAGTCGAGACAGGTGCCTGGGGCGAGCAGGTGTTCGGGAGCTATGGGATGACTCGGGGAAAAGGTCACGGAACCCGTGGGAACTGTGGGACACCGGGGGAGGGGTGAGGGCACCCCACGAGCCTGCCTGGCAGGTGTGGGGGACAGAGCATGGGCAGAGGAGGAGACAAACCAGGAGCGGAGCCCGTGGCTGCACATCCTCTCGGAGCAGCAAACGGCCAGTTCTCCAGGGAAAATCCATTTCGTTAAAGGACAGTTCATCTTTATAAACTCGATTTAAAACAATCTACAGTCGGATCAGAGAAACAGTGCAGTAGCTGGAGAGGAAAATGGGAGAAAGGAATCATGCTTGACTTTGTTCTGAAGATAACAGCTCGTTTATTTGCTGGTGGGAACGAGCGGGCAGGTCTCAGAACGGTCAGCGACGTCTGCGAGGTGTCCTGGAGGGCTGCCCAGGAGGGACGGGGTGCAGGCACCGCGGGGGTGGGGGGAGGTGGGCGCTCCGGCCTAGGAATTCGGACCACACGCTGCAGTCTGACATGCGGGAGAGGCAGGGGCTGCCGGCGGGTGGCATGGTGGCCGTGGCGGCTGGTGGACATGCTTCTGACTCTTCACCTAAGCACGCTGTGAATGGCCTCCCGGTTCAATGAAAAAGTCAGATGCAAATCAACTGGCGGGCAGCCGTGCCCGAGGGCTGGCTGTCCAGGACGCCCAGGCCGCCGCCGGTCAGATCTAGGAGGGCGGCTGGTCTGGGAGCATCGCCTCCGTCACTGTTCTCCGGAGAGCATCGTTCTCGTCCGGCTGTTTGCGTTGCAAGGCTCTCCATGGCTTTTCCACACGGAAACCTTGACTCCTAAGCACGCGATCGCCGTTGGCAAAGCCGGACCTCGGTCTCTGCGTGGGCCCCTTTCTATGATTTCGAAATGCTCCCCAGTCCAGAAATCAGACATGCAGGCATTTCAACTGCCTATGTTCTAAAGCCCCGCTCTGGTTTTCTGCTTAGCCCTTGGCTTTGCCAGGAGTTTATTTCTGGGTAAGATGGGAGGTCACGTAAATAAAACGCCACGCGTTCCACACCTGTTCCTTTCCGTGGCAGATGCGCCGCTCGACGTAAACCCCCAACACGCCAGGCTCCTGCTCCGGCATGTGCTCTGGTCCACGGATCTGCCCAACTCCCCTCCCCTCCGGCCAGCCCCGTGCCCCCGATGCGTGGCATGTTTTAGTGCCTGGTTATAAACGTTCAAGAGAGGAGGCCGGTCTCTCCTCTCGTTTTGTTGTTTGAAGTTGTCTCGACTCTTCTCCAGACAAACTTTTCAGTCATTCGCTGACGTTCCAGCAAACGATCCCACCGAGTTTTTTCCCGGGACGTCCATTCGACCTGGAAATGACTCTGAAAGGCCTTGTGGTCCCACGATTCGTCTTTCTTGATCACGGACTTGGCGTGTTTCTGCTTATTCAGCCCGTTTGTAAATGTTCGTATTTCTCTCACGGAAGCCTCAAGACCCCAAATTCTCATTAAACCGATAGCTCCCCAAGCCCCCATCCGAAACAAGGTCGGGAGCATCTCAGGGGCGTTTGTCCTGCCTGTCCGCCGCCCGCAGCCTCGGGTCACCTGCTTTCACCGCCACAGTCACTGCCCCTGGACCGTTCATCGCCTGCCTGGTGTTTTGATTTAGTTACCGCGTTTCTAAAAATGTCTGCAAGTGGAGTCTTCTCCTCGTGTGTCCCTGTGGTCCCGTCTTCAGCCATACACTCCTGTGGGCGGGCACGGGCCAGGCAGATCCTCTCTGCCCAGGGGATGGCGAGCTTCGTGGATCGTGAGCCGACACGAACCCTGACGTGGATTACGAGCCACTGACAGCTCCCTCCTGGAGCCAACACGCGCTCGGGGGCAGAGATGCTGCTGGCAGAGCCTACGCTGGCACAGGAAGTGTCGGCTTCCTCTCCCCGAGGCAGCGGGCACAGCCACGCCCGCCACCGCTCAGTGCAGGTGGCCTCGTTATCTGTAAGTGACATCTGTGAAGTGCATAGTGAGCGACAAAACGGACGTTTTTGGGGAGCTAGTCTTTGGCATGAAATACAATCAAAAATTCGGGTGGGAACGCCGGCCTTGAGAGGAGAAAGGAGAGAACTTAGCATCTTAACGTTTCTGTTTTTCTCTTTAACGTGAGAGTAACGCTTCGTGGTTACACAGGAACAGCCGTGTTTAAATTCTCCTCGGCTTTTAGACACAGGGCTGCAGTCGGTGGGGCCGTGTGGACGATGCCCCTGTGTTAGTCCGCTGAGGCCGCCACAACAAGGCGCTCCGGGCTGGGTGCTTTAAGCAAAGGGAAGGCATCGCCTCAGGCCGGAGGCGGCAGGGCCGGGACCCAGTGTGCGCAGGGCTGGCTCGGCCCAGCGCCTCTCCTCTGGGCTTCGAAGTAGCCCTCCTCTCCCTGTGTCCTGTCCTTGGACAGATGTCCTTCTGTGTGTCTGTGTCCTTTTCCCCTCTTCTTTCCCATAAAGACACCAGCCAGATGGGACTAGGGCCCACCCCGACAGCCGCGTTTTAACGAAATCACCTCTGCAGAGGCCTGCCTCCATCTGCAGCCACATTCAAGGCGCCGGGGGTCAGGGCTTCGCCGTAGGAACTTGCGGGGGACGTGACTCAGTCCGGAACGGCACTGTCCCTCCATCTGAGCTGCTGGCCACCAGCCCCGTCTGTGCTTCTGGAAAGTTGCTGGTTGCATGGAGTCAGCGTTGGGCACCGCCTCTGGGCTGGAGGATGACAAAAAGCCGTCTAAGCTCTGCCACGCGGGCTCCTCGGCTTCGGTTCTGCGGTCACGCTGTGTCCGTCCTTCTGCGTGGAGGGCTGTGAACCTCTGAGATCCGAGAGCCATCGCACTCTGATCCCCTCTGAGCCTCCGCTTCACAGAGATGGGACGAGCCGCCTGCTGCTTCCAGCCCGTGCGGGCGCCTCCCCGTCCGCCTCGCCCGCGCTCGCTTAGCCGGTCCCAAGAGCTGCGCACGGCGACTCCCTGTAAAAACCGCGTACGCGTGTGCAGCCGCGTGCTGTGAGACACACGTACGTGTTATGATCATGTAAATAACACGAAATTATGTAACGAAATAGAAATCCATGATTGCGTTACTAATGATTATATATGGGGCATAAAATCAGAAAGTATCTATTTCATGTATGCATCGATATGCTATGTATACATGTAATACGGAAATTACTGGTTCTGCTGCTCCGGTTAAACCTCAGATGACACTGAATTTGGTGTCAGGCGTGGGATGCTATCACGTGCTGGGGAAAAGCAGAAACTGTCCTCGGCAGGCAGAACCTGCCCGCGAGGCAGTCGGTTATGCAGCCAAGGACACGGCCGCGCAAGGCGTCCAAGCCGTGGACCGATGTCTTCCTGTTGCTTGCAGTAAAATGTGCGAGGAGAGAGAAATGGACGGAGAATCATTAAACAAAAGGAACCCGTAGTTGACAATCTCGAGGATCCGTGGCCTCTCCAGACGATGCTAAAGATGCTAAAATTAAGAAATTGCAGCTGAACATGAAGAAGCCACCAGGAGTCCTACGGCTCTGAGGACATGAATTCTGCCAACAACCATGTAGCCTGAGAGAGGACCCCAGCCTCATGGAAGCCCCGGACCCAGCCGAACCTGCTTGCAGCCTTGGGAAACCCTGAGCTACGCCTTGCCCAGACTCCCGACCCAGGAAAACTATGCGATACTATGCGCATACGGTTTTTAGCTGTTAAGGTCATCTGATAAATAGCAATAGAAAACTAAGAATGACCCTTTGGACTTTACAGTTTATACAGGGCAGAAGGATAAATAAAACCTAGCTTAGGACCTCTAATTCTAATTTATTATGTCCATAATAAGAGACTGTGTGGTATTTTGCAGCCGTTTTGGGATGACGACCTCAGAAGCTGTAGAGAGTAATTCGTGTGCTCTGAGAGCCGTCAGCACGAGTCACCCCGATGCTTCCTGTCTACCTGCAGGGATCACGTGGCCAGCACGGGGAAGGCAGTTTTCACCGACGATGGGATGGTCCAGAGCGAGCAGAACTGCGACCACCGTTTTCAGATGGATGCTCTCGACCCTCCGGGGGGACGTGGGGGCTCCCGCTAGAGGCGACACTCACCTATGCTTGACCCAGGTGTCACACTCTCGGGCTCGTTCCATGTAGTTCTCTGGCAGGAAGCCTCTGCAGCCAGTCCGCTGCGAGATGCCAATCACCCAGCCCTCGCTGGCTTCCTCCTGCTGACAGGGGTCCACGAAGACGTAGTCACCGGGGCTGAGGGGCAGCTCGTCCACGTTCTGGGGCTTGTACTGGAATAAAGCCCTCAGCGTCTGGAAAAGAAGCAGCTGTTTTCACGTCTCAAGCGAGGACTTCGGGTGGAAGAGACGGCAACGGGATGCATGTCACCTCTGCCTCGTGCTTTCAGAATCCCCGGTGGGCTGTGTCTCCAGGACGGGGCCAGGCCCGTCTGATGGTACTGAAGAACATGACAAGGTGTGGCCTAGGCTTCTCTGGACAATTTAGAAATAAATTTCGGTGTCTTTTATTATCTATCTATCATCTTTCTACCTATCATCTATTTCCATCTATCTCTATCTCTATTATCTATCTATCTATCTATCTATCTATCTATCTATCTATCTATCTATCATCATCATCTCTATCTATCATCTATTATCTATCTATCTATCAATCATCTATTATCTATCTATCTATCTATCAATCATCATCTATCTCTATCTATCATCTATTATCTATCTATCTATCACCTCTCTCTTTCTCTATGAATTCAGCGAGAGATAACCTAAGGCTTTACCCACATCATTATTTAAACAAATTAATAAGCAACATGATGTATTCATAAATCCTTGCAATAGTCCACTTTTATTATGAGAAATCTTTCCATTTTTAAAAAATTTCCACGTGTCTGCAATTACATATATAAAGAATGCTAGTTCCAGATTGCACAGACAAGGGTGTGGTTTTAGAGAAAGAATCAAGTTCTTCTCTCTGCTAGAATACCTCGAGTGAGGGCTGCCCCGTGGGGGGGCGGGCAGCCGTCCATCAGCTCCGGGAGGACGCAGCCCACCCACCTGGTAGTGCACGAAGCGCATGTCCCTGGAGTACAGTGCCGCGGCCCACTGGCAGCTGTGATCGGGCTGCAGGGCTTGGGCCAGCTGCTCCAGCGTCCTCTGGTGGTGGGGGTAGAACTTGTGGGCCAGCGTCAGGTGCAGCTGCTTGGTGCAGGGCTTCACGGTGCAGTCTGCGGGCCCAGGGAGACATGGGGCGGCTGACTTTACCTGCTGTCAGCACTGCACGCCCAGGCGGCCGCACCCCAGGCCTGGCCGCACGAACCTTCACGCACGGAGCCCCCACCTCTGTCACTGTGCCCCCCCTGCACTGCGGCTCTCTCGGCCAGGCAAGGACACCGCCCACTCTGTGCTGTCTCTGAGTCACCCTCGTAAGGGGGATCCTGGGCACAGGATGTAGGAAGAGGAGGGTACGGAGGTGTGGGATGGTGGGGTTCGGGCCTATCAGCTGGCAAGCTGGCTGCCCAAGTAGTTGGTCAACACGTACGGAGCAGACAGCTTCCCCCTCGTGCCCGGGGGTGTGCGTGGTGCTCGGCGGCCTGGGCTGGTGGGGGCACCCTCCAGGTCGGGGACTGAGAGTCTCAGGGAGCAAAGGCCAGAGGCAAAGCAGCCCCATCAAACACGACAGCCTCTGACCCTCGGCACGCTCTGGGGGAGCAGGAGCCAGGGAGCGGCCAGCCACGTATTCCTGGGGGTCTCGGCCCTCGTGGCACCCCCTCTTCTCATTCCAGGGCTCTCAGGCTGGCCGAGGTCTGGCTTCAATTGGGCCACAAAGTAGATAATGTTCTGGGGAGGCAGTGACCGACAGGCATGGCTCAGAGCTCGATATCCGGTTGACCGGCTTGGACGTGGTCTGCGTCTTTGGGCCGGGCCCCCAGGGCCGACTCGGCTTCTGTTCAGACATCAGCAACAATGGGAAGAGGTGATGGCTGCCCCCTGGGGCTGGACGCCAGTCTCCGAACTCGCGGTCCCCGGGAGACTTCAGTGAACACCAGCCACCTGCCACCTCTCCCACAGAGTGCCTGCCGACAAGTGGGACCCGTCCTCCCCTGAGACATGCCGGGCGCTGCAGGCCCTTCCTGGGGCGCAGCTCGGCGGCCCCACCGATGCTCCCCGTTCCATGTGAGACACTGTGGAGCAAGAGAATGGGGGGTGGCCGGGGAGTTCCTTCTCTTAGGTGTCTCAGAGGTGGGGGCAGGGTGGCCCTGCCACGTGTCAGCTGTGGCCTGAGAAAGACCGTCTCTGCTGTCAGCGAGTCACGCCCGACTTCTGAATGGGCCCTTGTCTCTTCTTCTGCCCACAGCCTCATTCCCACGGGGACATCTCACTGGGGAGGGACACACTTGCCCTGAGAGGGACCCGGGACACTTGGGAGCTGTGGCTGGCCCCTCCTACGCCCTCGGGGTCTGGCCCAGGGCCCGGGGCAGCAGAGGGCAGCAGAGGGTGGCGCAGAGCCTGGTCAAGGTCCGAGCTGCTCCCTCGGGCCCTGTGGCCAGCTGGTACGCGACCCGGACCACGAGGCCCGAGGCAGAGCTAGACTCCCGGCCCGGGTCAAGCACCCACAGTCAGGGACTGTGTCACAAAGGCCACAAACTGAGTGGCTTAAGAGACGGAATTCGTTCCCTCAAGGTTCTGGAGAGTGATGTCCAAGGTCAAGTGCCACGGGCCAGCGCCTGGGGCTCCCGGGGAGGGGCCGTGCTGCTCCCCGCCACTGGGGCCCCCGCGATGCTTGGCTTGTGGCCACGGCCTCCGCCTTCACGTGGCCTCATCCTCGTGTCTCTGTGTCCTCCCTTCTCACGAGGATGCCAGCCATCGGGTTTGGGGCCCTCCTACCCCCGCGTGCCCTCATCGTAACTAATTACATCTGCAAAGACCCTATATCCAAAGAGTCCTTTTCTGAGATTGCGAATTCTAGGGGGCACTAGGACGGTGATCTCGGGCAGGCACCTTACCCTTCACGGCCTCAGCCTCTCTATTTTTAAAACGGGGCCACGAGACCCGCTTTTGGGGGGCTTGTGAAGGGTGAGTGCCAGGCTGTGAGGTAAGAGGCTGACACACTGTATCGGAACCACAAAGGCCACTTTGTTCTTTCAGAGGCAGGAGATTAAAGAGCTATCGTTTGAATTCACTTTAACGTGAAGGAGACTAACCCGCAGAGACCCGGGTACGTTTATAATAACTCAGCAAGTACGACCCCCAGACTCGAGGAGGCAGCCGCCCAGGAGGGATCTGGGATTCATGGGTTTATGTACGGGGCCGGGAGCGGGGCGGGCCACAGGGACGCCTGCAGAGGGCGCTGGGGGCCCGAGGTCAGAGTCAGCGAGTGCATCCAGGACATGAGCAGCGTCTGAGTGCCAGGGACCATGGGACGCTCCGCAGAGCAGGCGGCATCGTTGGAAGAGCAAGAGCCTCGCCGTTTTGCAGAGGAGGACAGATGGCTCAGGGAGGTGAGGCGGCGTGAGTAAGGCACCCGCTCCCCAGAGGTGCAGGGAAAAGTCCCATCTTCGGACGTCAAGTCCAGGATTCTTCCCGCTGACCCCAGCTGGCCTCAGCCTCCAGACCAGGGCTGGCGTTTGGAGAAAAGGGAATTTTGCTGATTTTTAAAAATGAGTCAAAATATTTTTTCCCCGAAAAGGTCAAGGAGAGAAAGCTGAGTTCCTATCTAAAAAATGAAAATAAACCAGCTCACACCTGTGTTTTACACACAGCACTGACCTGGTGAGGACAGGTGCCGCGTGGGCATGGGACCGGGGAGGGTCGCACCAGCCTACTGTCCCCGTCATCCCATAGCCAAAAATGTCCCCACCTGGGACCGTTTCCCAGGCAGCTGGAAAGAGGCAGGTGTTTGGAGAGTCCTTGGCCGCAAACGCGAGCCAGCGTGTCCCACAGAGGGAGGGACGGTGCTGGCTCTCACAACCTGTTTGCTTCCCTGTTAGTGACGCCTGGTTCCTGAGCCTCTAGTATGTTGTTCAGCCTCCGGGGAAGCCCAGGTCAAAGTGGCCGACCAGAGAGGAAGAAGTGGGGGGCGGAGGAGGCCGGAGGGGTGCATGCACCCCAGAGCCCCGCCCAGCCAGCTGTCTGGCCATCACCGACCGAGGGACAGCGGTGCTGCTGCCTTGGGACCCACCCTGTGTCCAAGCCCTGGACACAAAAGGTCACTTTCTGTAACCGCGCCCTGCGCGTGGCACGGGCTGGGGCCGCCTACCTGCTAAGACAGCCGCTTCCGTGGCGAATGTCATGGCGAATTCGCGGATGACATCGGCGGGGCTGTCACTCACGAAGAAGCCCAGGTAGCTGATGGAAGAGTGGAGGGCCAGAGGGACCGTCAAGGGGAAGGAGCCCAGCACCCTGTCCCCAGCCCTCTTGAGAGCCTCGTAGAGACATTCCACCTTCTGGTCTTCGCACTAAGGGGAGAGAAACGGCGGGCGGGCGTTGCTGTTGGTGCAGGTCACACAACGTAGCGACGCTAATTCTGAACAGCGTTTTAATTTTCAGTCTGGTCGTCATAATATCTGCTTTCGTGTCAACTTTGTAAATGGTCCTTTGGGGCCCAAGGGCGCTCAGGCCCAGGGCGAGGGTTATTTCGTCCTGTTCTGACGTCCCAAAGGTTTGAGGCATGAGACGCAGAGGGCGGTTCCTCTGGGATGGCGGCCCCGGCCCCACGTGGCAGTGGCTCCGTTTATATTTTTACGCCCATTAACGTAACCGATCAAAGCCGCGTGGCCTCGCGTGTGGATTGTGGCTCTTCCTGTGCCCCGTCCTCGGTAAGAGACCTCTAGGAAGCAGGCTTCAGGTGACCGTCCTTCTGGTCTAGGATACCTCTCAGGGCTCTGGCTGGACACCCCTGTCACTAGACTCCGGCCCTCACTCCCGTCGTGTTGACGCCCGGAGCTGGCACCCTCTCCACTCGGGGCCCAGGGCCGTGAACCCCCAGGCAGCCACGTGTGCTGCTCAGAGCCCGTGGCAAGGCGGGTAGCAGCCTGTGCCCGGCTGCTGACCTGCAGGCCCGGCCACAGGCCACACTCTCATGGTGACTGAGCCGGGCCTCGCCCCTGAGGGGGTCTTGGTGCTCGGATTCTCCGGGGAGCAGGGCACTGTGGGCGAGGCCCCGCGGCCTGGTCCCAGCCCCTCCCCCCCCACAGGTGTCCGGCCTACGAGTCCGAAGCCTCTGAGCGCCCTTCCCTCCCCTTCACTCTTCACAGGCGTTTCTCCTGAAGAATCCTCTGCAGGACCCTGAACCTACACAGACTCCTGCTTGTCTCCCTGCTGCCCCCTCCACCCCGTTCGCGGCACACCTGTCCGACCCCTCTTCCTAGTGTGCACCCCACAAGGCCCCGCCCCCACCCCCCCACGGTGGCGCCCCAGCCCAGTCACCTGGAGAGTTCACTGCCGGAGGAGTGAGGAGCGTCAGGGTTTACAGGTCTGGGGCGGGCTGGGCCCACCCGCTCCAGCCTCCTCTGGCGGGAGCCACAGAGGAAGTGGCGTCTGTCCCTCCCTTCCCATTCTCACACTTCCGTCTCCTTCGAGCAGCCCAGGCCGTTCTCTCCTTCCCCAAGTCCCTGTGGAGCTGCCTGTGTCACCATGTTCTAAGTCAGGCTGGTCCCCAAGGCGGGAAACGTCCCGCGTTTGTGACGGGCCAGCAGCCAGCCACCTGTTCCTCAGTCACCCGGCACACATTGCTGAAGCACCCTCTGTCCAGGCGCTGTGTTGCTCACTAGGGGTGCACAGGTGAGTGGAGCACCCACCTTCCTTGACAGGTTCAGTCAGTGAGGGATGCACAGCTGCGCCGGACATATTGTCAAAAAACAGGGAAAGCGCCACTAGAGATGTCAACAAAAGGAGGCGGGAGCACAAAGGGCAGCCACCCCGCCCGCCTGGGAAGCGGGGGACACTTAAAAAAGGGGGAGATAAATGAGACGGGTCCCGGAGGGTGACTAGGAGCTGAGCAGACGAAGGCGAGGAGGGAGGTCAAGGACCCCTCACGCGACGAGGCCAGCTAGCCCCACAGCCGCGGACCGCCCTGCAGAAGTAAATCGCGTGGTTGCCGGGTCTGTCCTGTCACTGGCTGGTCACCACCGTCCTCAACAGCCGCCTTGCCGATGGCGTTAAAGGCACGCCGGGCACACTCACCGTGAAGAAGTCGCAGAGCGTGATGTGGGGAAAAACCTCGTGGGCTCTGTTCTTCGTGCACTGACGTTTGCTCTCTCTCCAGAACTCCTGAAGCTTTTCCAGCAGGGGCCCCGTGGGACACAGGAAAAGGGCATACTCCTGGGGGATGGGGTCGTCTAGAGAAGGGTCATCGCAATGACAATGCAGCCTGCAACAGAGAACAGGCCGCTTTCACCGGGCGTCCTGACAAAAGATTCTTCCCTCCTGGGGGACAGGTGTGACGATAGCAACTCAGAATAACTGGCCGGGCTGAGCAAGCGAGGGACACGCGTCATGTAAATCGGCCCCCAGAAGCCTCTCGGGTGAGACGCACCGGGCGTGTGGCTTCGTGTGGCCACAGAGCAGGTCGGTGCCCACTCAGGACTCAGACCCAGGTTAGTCCGGTGCCCAGGCCAAAGAACGAGAAAATGAGAAGGAGGAAGGTGGCGGTGAGACTCGCGGCCGGGTCTCAGTGACCTTTGTGGTCCAGCCACCTCCTGAGTGTTGAAAAAATTTCGTGGAAAAAAATTCACGCTTTAATTGGACCTCAGACTTCAAATCAAATGTGAGAATAAAACCCACAAAGAACGAGACAAAATTTAGGAGGCTCTCATATTTTTTTTCAATTCAGAAAGTTATTTTAAATATAACGGAAAGTGATATACGATCCCAAATTCAAGTTCATTCTCACTAATAATGAAAATGAGAATTAAAACAACCACTTTTCTCATCTGTCGCATGAACGAAATGTTTTTCAAAGGATAAGAGTTACAGTCGATGGTGTCAAAGCTGCAGCAAGACTTATGGATAAACCCGGGCAATCTTTACAAAAAGCCATTTGCCAGCTCGCGTCGAGAGCCTTAAAATTCACAGTCCGTTTGAACTAATAATTCTACTTCCAGAAATATAACCAAAGGAAGAAGCAAAAAGTGTAGGTAAAACTGCATGCAAAAAAAGATTTATTGTAGGGTTATTTATAATAGGAAAGAAGGAAAAATGAGATAAAAGATAGCAAATTTACTTGGTTTTGAAGAATTTCTAATGACTCAGGAAAGTGCTCGTGAGATAATATTGTTTGAAAGCAGCAGAAACCACATAGGAAAACCTTAGTTACACGCGAATCCATTCTCCCGATAATGCAGAGAACAGCAGTAGAGGAAGGTGCCCCCCCATCCTGCCCCCCACCCCCCGCTTCCTCCTGACATTCAAATAACGATCTCGTAGACAGCACTTGTGAGTTTTCTAGAAATCATAAGCCAACGAGTGCCCCGTGTGGACACACGCACGTGGCCGACCTCGGGGCTGTGTGATGCCCTGTCATGCACACACATGTACCATACCACCCACCACACCGGTGTGCACTGAAACCGCTTTCTTCTCTAACACTATAATGAAGATTATTTTTTAGGCCTTTGTGTCTCTCCAACCTGCCTGGGCGGGTGGCCTCACACACTTCCGGTGTTGACAGTGACCATCCCTTCCCCCCTCACCCACGTAGGAAGGGACCTGTTTTGGCGTCTCAACTAGACCTCCCAGTTATCAGGGAAATCAGGCCACTCTTGGCCGAGTCTAGGGGACCCTGCTGTCGCCCCGTTCCCTGGTGGGACTTCTGGTCTCCTTGGCTGAGTGGTAACTGACAGCCCTCGCGCGGTGGGCTCGGCTTCTGATGCAGACTGGCCACGACTTGGAGCCGGCCTAGCCCAGGGGCCCTGCTGTCTCCTCTGTTCTGCACGCTCCGCAATCGGCCTCGAGTCCCGGAAGACGCGAGGCGTCCCCCGAGGACGAGCTGGACACGAATACGCGCCGTCCGAGTCCGCCGCCCTGCTCTGCGGGGGGCGCCCCAGCCCGGGGCCCCGCCTCGCTGCGCCCCGCCTCGCTGCGCGACCACGCGGCTGGTCTGGGGCCGAGCCCGAGGGTGCTTTCCGCCTGGGGGCAGGATGGCGGCGTCCAGGCGGGTCCGGGGGACTGGGTTTCAGGGAACCGGGAGCCACCTGCACATTTCCAGAGCAGACGGCCGCGGCCCATAGCTGTGGGCGGCGTGTCGTCACCCGCTGGGGGGCGGCGGAGACTCCTGGACCCACAGCTCCTCGCCGGGTGCCCCAACCGCCTGGCCCCCCTCAAGCTGCTCTGTGCCCATGCGTTAGGGGGCGTTTGCGCCCCCCGTGAATTCTCTCCCCGTCGGGACGCCCCGAGCGTGGCGACCTCCGTATCAGCCGAAAGGAGTCTTCCCTCGTCACGCGGCAGATCGCGCGAACTCTCTCCTTCTCCGGCGTCACACTTGGATTAAATCTTATTTTTAAGTGAGAAAAGCCCCGTTCGAAGTGCTTTCTCTTTTGCTTTCTGTTTTAAATGTGGGCTCTTTGTTCCGTGCGCCTGGCGCTGGGGCGCGGGCGAGGAGGCGGCCCCCGCGCTGGGCAG